AATAAAGAAAGTCTTAGTCAAAAGTTTAGTTACATAACAAACTAAAAGGTCTGCTTATGTTTGAGACTAAACAAAATGAACTGAAGTTARGATTGTATTAACCACTTGTGTCTAATGCAGACGATATTATCTGTCCTACATCATCAGTATGACAACAACGAGGGATTCAAAGGGAAAAGCTCACAGGAGTGTAAGAAATGGAGAACAATCACAACAAGAACCAAAGAGAAAGTGTTATCCACTTTGACAGAACTTGCCAAATGCTGCGGTGGCACTGACAGATTTAGACAGCAAGAATCATACAGCATAAATTGTCATATATTTGTCAATAAATGCATATATTTGTAAATCCTTCAAGGTAGCGCTTATGAACCCCGTGGGGCCTCTGTAGGTGATTCGCTGTAAAGTTTTCCAGCTGTAACTTGTGTATTAGGAGGAGTGCAGTGTAGCTGTGAAGCAGAAAGCAATGTGGGTGTTAAATGGCCCATGAGCATAGATTGGCCCGGTCCGGCCACCCCCTCTGGTCCTCGAATGGCTAATGAGTCTGCACTACATGCATGGATGCATGGCCTAACTCTCAGCGGGGCTTCTCCCTATTGGATAACATCCCATAAAACACTTGGACAAATATGCAAACACGTTCACACGAAGGTATCACACACAGTTCTTAAAAAAACATAATATAAAAACCTCAAATCTTTAAAAATGCGTTGCTTAAAATTGTAGGGTTGTTCCCCAACTTTTAAAAAAAACGTGGAGAACATTCTGCCAGATATAACAGCAGCAAGTCCTTGTCTCCAAACGTCCCACCTTTTCCTCAAACTGCTACAGATACCACGTCGAAACCACCGATCCCAACGCGGCCGGTGAGTGGAGAGGAATATAATTGCATGCTTAAATGCCTGAGAAATGGACATCCAGTTCTGCTGAGTCGGTGCTTTCTGTGTGGCCTCATTGTTGAGGCGCGCAGTCATGCAGTTCTTTGAGTCGCGCTCAGCGTTCGTGTTGGGTTAGAGCTGGTTCGGAAGAGTGGAAGTCGGGGGGAAATCTTTGTCTATTGGCCAGATATTTTATTGCAAGATGAAACACTTTGTGTTTGCCCACCATGCCTGGCAGAAAAAAAAAACTGTGATTAATGTCGAGGCGGAGTAAACCCACAAAAATCAGAGGCTCTTCCTCTTTTCCCTGCTCTGAGCCATGCTTTAACATTCTTGTTGACAGCCAAATAATCAGCTGTTTTAAAAGACCTGTGGAGCCTTTGATAGCAAGACAGAGACTACACACAAATCCAACCATGCACACATTGTATACTTGTGCACAAACATGCACAGATGCCACTGTCAGTTGRGCTTTCTGGTTGATGAGCTTAATGTGGCCAAAGTGGACAAACAAAAGGCTCCTCTCTCTGGGACGGCGGAGTAATGAGAGGCAGTTTGATTGTAAATACATCGCCTCGCAAAGTTTTCCATTTCACTGCAGGACAACAGAGACGAGCCATCAAATTCAGGTCACCCGAGGCTTTTACGCACGTTGTTGGGCTCTGTGACGTTTAAGAGTTCAATCGTCAGTGCTCTGGAAAAAAAAAAAAAGAGAGCATGAGAACAAGAGCTGCTTGGATGAGACTCAATGTTTATACAACTTTAATAAAAAGAATAGCAGCTCTTTTGTGCCGGATGCATTCTTACATCCAATTATTCACGTATGAAACTTGTTGTAGTCAAGTTTGATAACAGCAAGGATAATTTTTCGATGTGCAGGGTAGTGATCTCCATCATCATCATCATGCCGAGTGGTTGAGAAACATAAAGGACTAAAACATATGTTATTAATTCTGACAGTTAATCAATGACACGCAATYATACCAACTTTAACACAAAAGGTGTGGAAGAGGAAAAGTAACTGAGATATTTGGTCCTTTTGATTAAAAAATGACGTGACGTGTTGATTTTAAACATGTTTTACTGAGCCACCTGTTTTAGGTTTATTTGGACTTGCAGACAAAATGCACACAAATCAGGGAGACAAATTAGGCAAATCTATGGACACGAAAGAAGACAACGAGGACAAAAGAAAAACATGACTAATCAAGCTTATTTTCCATCTGTACAATCAACGCTCGTGATGCTGAAACTATCYGTGTTGGCAGGCTTGTCATTGCTTTTGGCTCACCGTGGCGGAACACAAGAGCACTTTAAAATATCCTGAGAGCTGAGCAAGTCTTTCATTCAGTCCCTGATTTTGACCAACAGCTGTTCAAATCAGCCTTTAATGCCGCTTAATAAAATAAAACTGGCGAAGATGAAAACTGTAGCCGCAGGAAATACTTTGTTCAGAAAAATCCATCATAAGTCAAAGCAGGAGCATTTTAGGAGGACGCAGTTTCATGACCTGATCACCATTTAGAAAAMGTTCCTAAAATGGAGCCACTGAATATTGGGTGGTGTGTGTACATGTTTTTGCTACTTGGTGGGGATGATTTTAATCATTTTACACACATCCTGGTGAGGACCCACTGTCCCTTATTGGGACCAAACCCAGGTCCCCATTGGGGGAAATACCATMGGTGAGTTAGGGGTTCATTCATGATTAACTTGTGAATTGAGTTTAGGTTAGGTTTTGGGTCAGGTATTTAGGGTAAGGGGCAGGGGCGGTTCTAGGGGTGGGGTTAAGAGGGGCATTGGCCTCAGCTGAAATCTGATTGGCCCCCTGAAGTGCCCCTTTCCTGTCACTCAACTGTCCTTTGCCCAAGTGTTGATGGAAAGTGCAGTTTCATGTTCAAACACTAGAGGCGCTAATGAGTCAAATAGGAAAGTCCAGCATGAATGAAGCTTACAGACGCTGTCTTCTGTTTTTAAGGTTTGAATAATCTTGCAGGAAAACACTTTCCACTAACAAACAATGCCTGGATTTTCTTACACGCTGTGTGTTTGGGAGTATTTGATCTATGTACAGTAAAAATGCATGTAAAGCTTGTAAGGAGGAGAATACACATGAAAGATTTTTTTAAATTACAAGTGTTTGAACATGTGACTGGTTAAATGTAGCCTATACATCATACCAAATCAGAGATTTGTATACAAAGATGTTAAATAAATACTTGGCCCCTCTAAAAAATATTGTGGCCCCTTGATGGCCCCTTATTCAAAAAAAAAATAAAAAATCCTAGATCCGTCACTGGTAAGGGGTCTGGGTTAGGATATAGAAATTACGGGTGAATGAATGGAAGTCAGTGCAAAGTCCCCATGAGGATAGAAGAACAAACGTGTGTGTGTGTGTGTGTGTGTGTGTGTGTGTGTGTGTGTGTGTGTGTGTGTGTGTGTGT